CTCCTCCCACCTTCAATCTTTCCCAGCATCAGGGTCTTTTCCAATAGGTCAGTTCTTTGCATCAGGTGGCCAAAGTATTGGAGCTTCAGCATCAGTCCTTCCAATGAATATTCAGGGCTTATTTCCTTTAGGATTGATTGGTTTGATCTTCTTGCAGTTCAAGGGACTCTCAAGAGTCTTCTCCAACACTGCAGTTCAAAAGCATCAATTCTTCAGTGCTCAGCTTTCTTTATGGTCCAACTCTCACATCAATACTCAGTCTCTCCCGTCAGGAAGCTTCCATAAGCTTCTTATCCTTATTCATCAGAGAGCAGACAGAATGAAAACCACAATCACAGGAAACTGACCAAACTGATCACATGAACCACAGCCTTGTCTAACTCAATGAAACTATGAGCCATGCCTTGTAGGGCCACCCAAGACAGACGGGTCATGGTAGAGAGTTCTGACAAAACGTGGTCCACTGGAGATGGAAATGGCAAACCGCTTCAGTATTCTTGCCTTGAGAACACCATGAATAGTATGAAAAGGCAAAAAGATATAACACTGAAAGATATATGTGTATGTGTGTGTGTGTGTATATATATATATATATGCTTCCCAGGTGGTACTAGTGGTAAAAATTCAGCCGCCAATGCAGGAAACACAAGAGAGCAGGTTCGATGCCTGGGTTGGGAAGATCCCCTGGAGTAGGAAATGGCAACCTATTCCAGCATTCTTGCCTGGTAAATTCCATGGACAGAAGAGCCTGGAAGGCTACAGTCCCTGGGGTCGCAAAGAGTAGGATATGATTAACCACACACACACACACATATACATGTTTGTTTATATATAAAATAGGAATTGGCTAATGTGAATATGAGGCTGGAAAGTCCCATGAGATGCCATTTGCAAGCCAGAGACCCAGTAACAGTGGTTAGTCCAGTCCAAGTCTGAAGGCCCAAGAACCAGGGGAGCCAAAGGCATAATGTCCAATCTAATAGCATTGGATACACCTGTCCCAGCCCAACTAGGCAGGCAAGAAGAGAACAAATTTCCCTCCTTCACTTTTTTAAAATTCAGGCCCTTAACAGATTGGATGCTGCCTGCTTACCTTGAGGAGGGCCATCTACTTTACTGAGCCCACATATTCAAATGCTGATGTCATCCAGAAACACCCTGAAAGACATCTAGGGGTAATCTGCACACCCCATGGTCCAGTCAAGTTGACACATAGCATTAACTATCACAATGACAGTATGTTAATTGGACCTGATGAGCAAGAAGTGTTGAGTGTTCTAAAACCCTAGTTGAGTTGCACGCACTCCCAGTGATGAGAGATAAACCTTATAAGATTTGAAGACATGCCATATAGGCAAGTTTTTAGGGGTTAAGTGGTCTGGCACTTAACAGGATATCCCTGGGTTGGGAAGATCCCCTGGAGGAGGAAATGGGAACCCACTCCAGTATTCTTGCCTGAAAAATCCTATGGACAGAGGAGGCTGGTGGCTACAAAGTCCATGGGGTCACAAAGATTCGGACAAGACTGAGCACGCGTGCACACCACACAGTAAACCTCTCCTCCATCTTGTTAACAAGCTGCCACTGAACAAATGTTATCCAACTGTATTTGAGCTCCTTGATAAACCTCACATGAGAGCTCAACTCCCCGAAGGGAGTCTGGTTGGCCCGGCTTGCTCAATGACCAGTGTCTTGATTAACATTCCTTCTATGCCTACATACAAAGAGGGGAAGTCCTCACTCAAAGGAATCCAGGTCTGTCTACAAAGGGGTGGAGTGGGCTGGACAAACAAGTATAATGCAGCTGACCAGCAGAACCCAACTCAGGGACCACTAGTAGGCTCTGATGTCTAAGGGGAGGAATGGGGTGGTCCCAGGCCAGCCAGAGAGGCTGCAGAGAGTGGGAGTGGTGGTGGGGGTGGGCGGGAGGGGGGGGAAACATATTCCTGGAATCAGGTTGACTGATTCCTCTGCCTGTGCTTTGAAGATTAAGGCTGAGAGCATCCACTCCACCCCCTGGGTCAGCCAAGGGCACAGATGGCCACTAAGCCTGTCACCTCTGTCTGTTCCATTAACCTGCATGCAGATGTGGGATGCTGGCTGCAAAGGAGCCTGGCTGTGGTCTTACCTGGGTGGGGTGTGTCTGTGTCCCCAGGATCTGCGGGAGGACCTGGTGCTTCTGGGGTCTGGGTCACTTGGGCACGACCCCTCAGCCTGAACCTCTCAGTGTGGAACCCAGGGCATCAGCACCCACCCTGTTGTCTGGAAGAGAGAATAAAATTCTCCACTTCTCTCTTGGAAACTGGATGGGAAGATGCTCCCGTGAGGACAGTAGGCAAAGAACAGCCGCCAGGGCTTCTAGAAAGTGTACAGAAGCAGGTTGATGGAGGAGGGAAGTTGAAACTCGGCGGAAGCAGCCAGGACAGAAAGTTTCCTGTTTATTATTACTTGGCTCTGAGAGCTGCCCTAGTTTTGCATGAGGTGGCTGAAACTCCGGTAGGAAGCCCACCTTTGTCTCTGGTCAGCAGAGCCAGGGAAGAAGCCCAGGGCAACCAGGCTTTCTGGGGAGAGAGGGGAAAATCCCAGGAAAGTCATAGAGAAGAACCCCAAATTCTGAGTTTAAACCCTCCCCATTTGTGTTCGAAATCGACTCTCAGGCAAAAAGGTGAGATAGATGGTGATCAAAATCTCGGCTTTCTTCACTGTAAAATCTGGATCGGGCTTAGTGCTCTGGCTTAGCGTGTGGCAGATAAAGAAATCCCTGAACTGAACCTCAGAACTGGGCTCATCCACACAGCGTCACACAGCTCCAAGCACTCACACCCCACCCCCGCCTCACTCCCCCAGCCCCTGGCCCCATGCACTTGACCTTGGAGGGGCTGACAGAGCCCCGGCCTCTGTAGGCAGGACGAGCCTGGGGAGACCCAACAAGGAGCAGACTCACCCCTTCCACCCACCCACAACCAGAGTCTCCCAGGAGTGGGGAGCAGGGGGTCCAGGCGAGCCCTGCTGACTGAGGTGCTGCCCTGGAAGGGGACCCTGGAGCCGGCCTGAGTGTAATCATGGGTCCCAGGTGCCCGCCCCCCTTCACTTCAGCTCCTACCGAGGAGCCTGGGGTCTTGATCCTCCAGCCCCAGGAACCACAGTGGCTGCTGCTTCCTCCTATTCTGCAGGTTCAAATCCCAGATCCCACTGTCTCATCTCAGGGACAGGCCTCGGGTCCCCACGGGGCTCTCCCAGCTCGGAGACCACCCCCACTACTCAAGTCTGAACGGAAGCGGCTCCTGGTGAAGCTTGTGAAGCCCGTTGCCCTGGCAAATCCTGTGCCCCGTGGTCGCTCCTCAACCACGGCCTCTCCTGCCCTGTGGGTTTCCAGGTCTGATAACCAGGATCCTCCTGTGATAGCAGAAACGCTCCTGCTTCAGTGCTCCTCACAGTCACAGAACATGCCCCAGGCGTCTCCTTATTTCCTTCAATCATTCCAACAAGGTCTGTGGGAGGAGTTCAACCTCCTCCTCCTCCTTCTTCTTTTCTAATTGAAGTATAGGTGATGTACAATGTTGTGTTAATTTCTACTTTACAGCAAAGTGATGCAGTTGTATATACACATTCTCTATAGTTTTCCATTATGGTTTATCATACGACCAACCTGCAACCTGTCCTTTCCCAAACCTGAGTGGGTCTGACGTTATTTCCTGGATTAAAGAAACTGCTTTCTCCACAGAGGACTTAGGGTGACTCAGACCCACCCCCCAGCCCCCGCCACTGCTCTCATGGGTGTGGTGCGGGCCCAGCTTTCTCTGACCCACAGGAAGGTCTCCTTCAGGGACCAGGAGCAGCCCCAGCTCAGGAGTGTCCATCCTGTGTATTATGTGCCCAGCCTCTGCTAGGTGGTCTCTAATTCCAGGTGTTCACCTTGAAGGTCCTAAACAGACAACAGAAAAACTGGCACATTTATGTCAACACACAGCACAGCACTGACCTGGTCCACCAGCCGCCCAGAACAGAGAGGAGAGAGAGAGGGGACCCTAGACCAGGCAGGTGTGGTCTGTGCCAGCCTCATGTGGACCGTGTCCCATGGAGTCAGCGGCAGAGGACAGTCCTGCCCAGATGAGGCTCAGCTCAGTAGTCCTGCTACCCCCGGAGTGAGGGGGGCAGGAGAGGGGTCCACATGTGTGCAGGATCTGGTGCCACTGACACTCTGCCCACTGGTAAAGAAGTCCTCATTGGAGTCCTGGGGTCTATCCTGACTACAGTGTTTCTTGCTCCTTTGGGAGAAAGAAACAACGGAAGTGAAAGAGAAGGTGGAAACCCCTCCCTTCATCTTCAAATGTCGCTGGGTGAGAACTCTACTCACAGCTGGAGGAAGTCACACTCAGGCCACCGAGTGGAAACCATCGCTCCAGCGGATATCTGCTTCACCAGCCCTCTGGCTGGATGTGGGGACCTGACTCGATTGGTCCAGGCTCTTCCACGGGCTGGAGAGAAGATCTGAAGTCTTTGTCTTTCTCTCTTCCCCGACAACCATCTGAGCAAAGGGGAAGGGGCACACCTGAGTTTGCCCTTGACCTCATACCAAACTCTGAACTGCCCTGAGAAGGCAGAACTGCCCTGAGGACAGTTGGGATCACACAGATGTTGTTGCTGTCTTTGCACAAACAGGTGGCCTCCCTGGGGGCTGACCCTGCCCCTCCCTTGGCCCTCCAGGCCCTGAGGGTCACTCCTTGTCTTGCATCCCTGGGACCACAGGTCTTGATGGCTGGAGGCACCAGGGAGCTGCGGGTGGAGGGAGAGAGCCGGTATCTGCCAAGCACAGCTCACTGGCAAGTACTTTCACTTCTCTTTTCCCCTCTATGGGTGGAGCCACGGGCCCCTGGTGAGACCCAGAGCTGACTTCCTGCTCGGGCTCAGGGCTCCCGGCCTCTCGGAACCCAGGCTGGGGAGACTGGAAGAATTGAATCGGAGGCCAAGCTCAGGCCCAGGCCAGGCTGGGTGGGAAAATGGCCGGAGAGGGCAGAGAGCTCAGCACCAGGTCAGTTTTTCTCCCTCTTCCTTCCGCCTTTCCCTGTGGCCAGCTGCTGTTCAGTGCTGTCTTTGGACTCTGCCCTGAACCTTTGCTTTGCACCTGGTGTAGGGGAACCTTCGCCTGCCGTATAAGGGTGGACAGGAATGTGTGATGAGGAAATGGAATTTTAACTGCAGCAGGGCGCATGCTGGTTGGGTCCTGCCTTCACAACACACATGACTGCTTGTTTTGAAAATACTGCTGGGCTGGCTGGTCTGCCTGAAGGCGCCTTTGTCCTTTATGAGCCTTTGCAGGAAGATTTTATTTTCTTGTGACCCTGTAGCATTCTTCTTTTCCTCAGGTAATCTCTACCTTGACATAGGTCATTTCCAAGAAGGTAGGTTAGAAAACATGAGATTCAGGGTAAACCCCTGACTTATTTTGAAGCCCTGGGTGGTGTGGTCCCATGTCTGTCCTGTGGACGGGGTCTCCGTCAGCTCTGATGCTATTCCCACCTCTGACTGGGGGCTTGGGGGTCTTCCTCCAGCAATCTTGAGCAAAGAAAGTAAAAGGAAGAGAAAGACCCAAGACTGTACAAGGCTAGCCCAGGCTGAGTGTTTTCATTTTTGCTTTGATATTCTGTTCTGGACTAGGTTTCCTCTACAAGGAAAATCTTATCTATAGTAATCAGTTCAGAAATAACATTGCTTCATCTATCTAATTTTCTGTTATTTTAACACAAAAGAAATACATTGTACATTCTGATTCATAAAGTTTCAAACAATATGGGAAGCATATAGAGGGGAAAAGTCTCATTCAAGTGGTCTAGTTTCATTCTTTTGCGTGTGTCTGTCCAGTTTTCCCAACACTATTTATTATAGCAGCTATACTTTCTCCACTGTATGTTCTTTGACCCTTTATTGCAAGTTAATTGTCCATATATGTGTGGGTTTATTTCTGGCTTCTCATTTCTATTCCATTAATATATGTGTCTGTTTTTCTGCTGTTTTGATTACTATGGCTTTGCAATATATTTGAAATCAGGGCTTGTAACATCTCCAGCTTTGCTCTTTTTCTCAGGATTACTTTGACTCTTTTAGATCTTCTGTGGCTCCACATAAATTTTAAGATTTTTGTTCTGTTTCTATAAAAAATGTGATTGGGATTTTGATAGGGATTGCACTGAAATCTGTGGATTGCCTTAGGTAATCAAACACAAAATGTCTGTCTGTCTTCACTTTCAGCAATGTCTTATAGTTTTCAGTGTACAGATCTTCTTCCTCTCTTGTTACCTTTATTCCCAGGTATTTTGCCATTTTTGTTGGCTACAAATGGGATTGTTTTCCTAATTTCTCTTTCTACTAGCTCATTGTTAGTGTACAGAAATGCAACAGGTTTTTCTATATTGATTTTGTGCCCTGCAATTTACTGTATTTGCTTATTTCCAGTCATTTTTTGGTGATGTCTTTAGGGTTTTATATAAAACTATGTCATATGCAAATAGTGATGGTTTTACTTCTTCCTTTCCAATTTGGAGGACTTTTGTTTCTTTTTCTTAATCAATCTAGCTATGATTTCCAATACTATGTTGAAAAAGAGCAGCAAGAGGGGCCATCTTTATCTTGTTACTAATCTTAGAGGGCTAGTTTTCAGTTTTTCACCTTTGAATATGATATTAGCTGTGGGTTTGACATACATAGCTTTTATTATGCTGAGGAACATTTCTTTTTGTGTGTGTGTGTGTGTGTTCTGGCTTTTTTTTTTTCATTTATTTTTATTAGTTGGAGGCTAATTACTTTACAATATTGTAGTGGTTTTTGAAGTAAGCCAGAAAGATAAAGACCAATACAGTATACTAGTGCATATACATGGAACATTTCTTTTATACACATTTTGTTGAGAGTTTTTGTCATAAATGGGTGTTGTCTTCTCAAATGCTTTTCTGTGTCTATTCAGATAATCATATGGTTTTTATCTCTCATTTTGTTAATATGATGTATCATTTTGATTGATTTGTGGATATTGAACCATTCTTGCATTCCTGGAATAAATCCCACTATCTCACACCATACACAAAAATCAAAGTGGGTTAAAGACTTGAATGCAAGACCAGAAAGCACACAATTTCTAGGACAAAAGAGGCAGTACACTTTTTGACATTGGTTTTAACATTACCTTTCTGGATATGTTCCCTCAGGCAAGGGAAACAAAAGCAAAAATAAACAAATGGGACTACATCAAACTAAAAAGTTTCTGTACAGCAAGGGAAGCCATTGACAAAATGAAAATGAGTCTGTCAAATGGAGAAAATATTTGCAAATCATATTTCTAGTAAGGGGTTAAATGTATAAAGAACTCATACAATCATACAACAAAAACAAACAACCTGACTAGAAACTGGGCAAAAGAACTAAATAGACATTTTTTCCAAAGAGAGCATAAAGATCACCAACAGACATACAAAAAAAATGTCCAAAATCACTAATTATTGGGGAAATGCAAATCAAAACTCCAATGAGATATCGACTCACACCTGTTAGAATGACTATTTTTGAAAAGGCAAGAAATAACAAGAGTAGAGAGTATATAGAAAAAAGAGAACACTGCACTGTTGATAGGAATACAAACTGGTGCAGCTACTGTGGAAAACAGTATTAAGATTCTTTAAAAAATTAAGAATCGAATTATCATATGATCCAGCTATTCCAATTGTACTTATTTATCTGAAGAATTAAAAACACATTTTAAAAGTAATATTAACCACTTCATATGCTCACTGAAGCATTATTTACAACAGTCAAGATATGAAACAAATTAAGTTCCCATTAATAAATAAATGCATAAAGTTATAGCATACATATACAATGGAATACTGCTGCTGCTGCTGCTGTAAGTCACTTCAGTCGTGTCCGACTCTTTGCGACCCCATGGACTGCAGCCTACCAGGCTCCTCCGTGCATGGGATTTTCCAGGCAAGAGTACTGGAGTGGGGTGCCATTGCTTTCTCCGACAATGGAATACTATTCAGTCATAAAAGAATGAAATTTTGCCATCCTTGACAACATGGATGGACTTTGAGCATATTATGCCAAGTGAAACAAGTCAGATGGAGAAACACAAATACTGTATGATTTCATTCATATGTGGGATATTAAAAAAAATGAAAAAAATACAAAATAAATGAATAAACCAAATCAAACAAAAACGAACACATAGATACAGAGAACAGTTATTGAAGCTTTCAACCCCAATCCTTTTAGAGTTGTGGGTATAACTTTAAGAGCTTCTTCTATGGATTTGCATATGTAATTCATTTTCCTAAATATATAATTTGTGTTCTCATTTTTAATAAAAGACTATATTTTATATGCTCTTAAGTATTTTGCATTTTTTTTTACTTTAATATTAAGAATATTAGAAATTTTTCACCTTTATAATCATGTGGCTCTATCTCAGACTCTAGGAGGGACTCTTTTTCTTGCCTTCTTTAGCTTCTAGAGGCTCCCTGCATTCATTGGCTCAGAGCCCTTCTTCCATCTTCAAATCCAGCAACACAGCATCACCAAATCTTCTGACTAACTTTTCTGCCCTCTTCTTCTCCTTATAAAGATTCCTGTGAATATTTTGGGCTCATCTAAATAATCCAGAATAATCTAATCTGCCCCTCTCAACATCTTTAATTTCATTTTTAGTTGAGGTAAAATTGGCCTATATTATTATATTAGTTCCAGGTGTACAACATAAAGACTGAATATTTTGTATACATTTGTATATATTGCAAAATGATTATCACAATAAGTCTAGTTAACATTCATCACTATGCTTAGTCACAGAATTTTTTATTGTGATGGGAACTTTTAAGTCCTACTCTCCTGCTGCTGCTTCATCGCTTCAGTCGTGTCCGACTCTGTGTGACCCCATAGACGGCAGCCCACCAGGCTCCCCCGTCCCTGGGATTCTCCAGGCAAGAACACTGGAGTGGGTTGCCATTTCCTCCTCCAGTGCACTAAAGTGAAAAGTGAAAGTGAAGTCGCTCAGTCGTGTCCAACTCTTCGCGACCCCATGGACTGCAGCCTACCAGGCTCCTCCGTCCATGGGATTTTCCAGGCAAGAGTACAGGAGTGGGGTGCCATTGCCTTCTTGGTCTACTCTCCTAGCAACTTTCAAATATGCAATACAGTAGTGTTATCTGTAGTCACTATGCTGTAGGTTATATCCTCAGGAGTTAGCTATTTTATAACTATTGTTGTTCTATCGCTAAGTGGTGTCTAATTCTTTGTGACCCCATGGGCTTCAGCATGCCAGGCTCCTCTATCCTTCACTGTCTTCCAGAGTTTGCTCAAATTCATCGTGTCTTTTAAGTCAGTAATGCTATCTAACCATCTCATTTGCCACTGCCCCCTTCTTCTTTTGCCTTCAGTCTTTACCAGCATCAAAGTATTTTCCTGTGAGTTAGCACTTCGCATCAGGTGGCCAAAGTATTAGAGCTTCAGCATGAGTCCATCCAATGAATATTGAGTACTGATTTCCTCTAGGATTGACTGGTTTGGTCTCCTTGCAGGCCACGGGACTCAAGAGTCTTCTCTAACACCACAGTTCAAAAGCATCAGTTCTTCAGTGCTCAGCGTTCTTGCTGCTCCAATTCTCACATCCATATATGACCACTGGAAAAACCATAGCTTTGACTGTACAGAACTTTGTCAGAAAAGTAATGTCTCTGCTTTTTAATATGCTGTCAAGGTTGGTCATAGTTTTTCTTCCAAGGAGCAAGCATCTTTTAATTTCATGGCTGCAGTCACCGTCTGCAGTGATTTTGGAGCCCCCAAAATATAAAGTCTGTTACTGTTTCCATGTTTCCCCATCTATTTGCCATGAAGTGATGGGACCAGATACTGTGATCTTTATTTTTTGAATGTCGAGTTTTAAGCCAGCTTTTTCACTCTCCTCTTTCACCCTCATCAAGAGGCTCTTTAGTTCCTCTTCATTTTCTGCCCTAAGAGTAGTGTCATCTACATATCTGAAGTTATTGATTTTTCTCCCAGAAATCTCAATTCCAGCTTGTGCTTCATCCAGCCCAGGATTTCACTTGATGTATTCTGCATATAAGTTAAATAAGCAGGGTAACAATATACAGCCTGGATGTACTCCTTTCCCTATTTGGAACCAATCCATTGTTCCATGTCCAATTCTAACTGGTGCTTCTTGATCCACATACAGGTCAATGATATAGAATAGAAATTGAGAAACAGTCTGGAATGGAAAAATCCAGAAACAGGCCCATGCTATGCTGTGAATTGCTGTCTGAATTTTTATTAACTTGAAGTAGGCAGAGATTTCCTAGATAGTACACGTAAGTCACTAACCACATACCCATACAGACACACATACTGATAGACTGGATCATAAAAATTAAAACTTTTTTTATTCCTTTTTTTATATAAAAAAATTAAAAAGCCTTTTTTTATTCCTACACATGAATAAGTGGAAGACACCCAGTAATATAAATGGATAATGGGCCAAAGGCTTGGACACTCCACAAAGGAAGATGTATAAATGGCCAATGAATTGCCAACCATATGAATATGTGCTCAACATTATTAGTCATTTTAAATAGAAATTAATACTGAAATGAGATACCACATCACATGTACTAGGATGGCTAAATTAGAAAAGCCATTTATAACAGTTGTTAAAAAACAGTTTGATAGTTTTTTTAAATGATTAAACATACTCTTACACAATGACCCAACAATTTCGCTCTTAATCATTGACCCAAAAGAAATGAAAACAACTTGCTACCAAAAGATCTGTACCAGAACAGCAGCTTTAGTTCATTCTAGTTCAATTCATTCTAGTTCCAGACTGGAATCAACCCAAAATGTCCTTCGGAAGGAAAATGAATGAACAGATTGTGCTAGATCCACACAATAAAATATCCTCAACTATAAGAGAAACAAACTTCTATTCATCCAACAATATGGATGACGAGCAGAAGTCAGACACAAAGCACTTGTGACTTATTATTTTCATGTATATGAAAGTCAGGTAACAGATAAAATTAACATATGGGGACAGAAAGGACAGTACTGTTTCCCTCGGAGAGGCTGTCTGCGTACAAGTGCTCAGGATGCAAGTTGAGGGGTATAGGGTGTGCTGTTCTCTTCCTCATTTTTCAAATAACACATCAGTTTTCCACACCATGTCTCCCTTGTGATCTCCACTGCCCCTTCAGGGTTCTGCAGGACATACTGGCTGCTTGCTTTCCTGACCTCTGGGAGCATACTCCACCTTCAACAGTGATTAGCTATCCTCTGACCACTTATCGTCTTACAGATTTTGGTAGAAATCTCTCATCTGCTCATTGCCTCCTGCCATTCTCCTTGTCATTGTGAATCCAACCCCTTTACTAACATTTTAATAACATAACATAAAAAAGAAGATAAATGTTTCTCTTCAATCTGAGATTTTTAAGTAGAAATTTTTTCATGAAAAATTCAACACAGTAATGTGACATTACTTTTCCCTGATGATTTTGGGTACTAGGCTATGGTCTTTCCAGTGGTCATGTATGAATGTGAGAGTTGGACTATAAAGAAAACTGAGTGCTGAAGAATTAATGCTTTTGAACTGTGGTGCTGGAGAAGACTCTTGAGAGTCCCTTGGACTGCAAGGAGATCCAACCAGTCCATCCTAAAGGAGATCAGTCCTGGGTATTCATTGGTAGGACTGATATTGATGCTGAAACTCCAATACTTTGGCCACCTGATGTGAAGAGCTGACTCATTGGAAAAGACCCTGATGCTGGGAAAGATTGAGGGCAGGAGGAGAAGGGGACGACAGAGGATGAGATGGTTGGATGGCATCACTGACTCAACAGACTTGGGTTTGGGTGAATTCCGGGAGTTGGTGATGGACAGGGAGGCCTGGCGTGCTGCGGTTCATGGGGTCACAAAGAGTTGGACATGACTGAGCTACTGAACTTAACTGACTGAACTAAACTGAAGTGACAGTAATTCTGTATTGATTTGTCTAAGAAAGCTAACATTTAAAATGGGTCTTCATAACATTTAAAAATGTGAAATATCGATTAAACATAAATATCAGACCTATAAAACAACTAAGAACCAAATTATAGACTCAGGTTTAAAATTAAGTTTTAAAATTGAGATGTCTAAAAACATTCACTTCATATAACAATAGCACAGAGAAATTTACATTAGCACATAGTAGAAGTCCCAGGAAAAATGACTGATATTCCTGTGAAATTCCCAGTTTATACCTAATTATACTACTATTAAAACATTTTATCATTTATGAACCAGTTTATAACATAGGATGAAATTTCTCTTTTTTTTAATTTAAAAAGCATCTTAATTGAAGTATAGTTTATTTACAATGTTGTAGTCATGATTCAGTTATACATATAAATATATATATATACTTTTTCATATTCTTTTCCCTTATGATTTATCACAAGATATTGAATATAGTTTCATGTGCTATACAATAGGACCTTTTTGTTTATCCATTCTATATGTAACAATTTGTATCTGCTAATCCAAAACTCTCAATCAATCCTTCCCCAGCCCTCCTTCCCCTTGGCAACTACAAGTCTGTTCTCTGTGTCTATGAGTCTGCTTCTGTTTTGTAAATATATTTATTTATGCCATATTTTAGATTTTACATATAAGTGATATCATACAATGTTTGTCTTCCTCTTTCTGACTTACTTCATTTAATATAATAATCTCTAGGTCCACCCGTGCTGCTGCAAATGGTATTATGTCATTCTTTTTATGACTAAGTAGTATTCCATTGTATATATGTATCACATCTTCTTTATTTATTCCTCTGTCGATGGACATCTAGGTTTTTTCCATATCTTGGCTGTTGTGAACACAGGATGCATGTAACTTTTTGAGTTGTAGTTATGTCTGGATATGACCAGGAGTGGGATTGCTGGATCATATGACAACTCTGTTTTTAGTTTTTTAAGGATCCTCCATGTTGTTTTCTATAGTGGTTGCACCAACTTACATTCCGACCAACAATGTAGAAGATTTACCTTTTCTCCACACCTTCTTCAGCATTTGTTATTTGTATACATTTTAACAGTGGCCACCCTGACCACTGTGAGGAGGTACCTCATCATAGTTTTGATTTGCATTTCTCTAATAATTAGTGATGTTGAGCAGCCTTTCATGGGCCAGTTGGTCATCTGTAGGATGGCATTTCTCTTAACAGCTATATGCAGAGAGGAGACACTATTTTCTATCTTTCTGTGGTTTATCTTCTCTTAGTTAATAAAGAAGCATTTGTTGGTGGGAATGCAAACTAGTACAGCCGCTATGGAAAACAGTGTGGAGATTTCTTAAAAAACTGGAAATAGAACTGCCATATGACCCAGAAATCCCACCCTGGGCATACACACCAAGGAAACCAGATCTGAAAGAGACACATGTACCCCAATGTTCATTGCAGCACTGTTTATAACAGCCAGGACATGGAAGCAACCTAGATGCCCATCAGCAGATGAATGGATAAGGAAGTTGTGGTACATATACACCATGGAATATTACTTGGCCATTAAAAAGAATTCATTTGAACCAGTTCTAATGAGATGGATGAAACTGGAGCCCATTATACAGAGCAAAGTAAGCCAGAAAGATAAAGACCATTACAGTATACTAACACATATATATGGAATTTAGAAAGATGGTAATGATAACCCTATATGCAAAACAGAAAAAGAGACACAGATGTACAGAACGGACTTTTGGACACTGTGGGAGAAGGTGAGGGTGGGATATTTCAAGAGAACAGCATCGAAACATGTATATTATCTATGGTGAAACAGATCACCAGCCCAGGTTGGATGCATGAGACAAGTGCTCGGGCCTGGTGCACTGGGAAGACCCAGAGGGATCGGGTGGAGAGGGAGGTGGGAGGGGGGATCAGGATGGGGAATACATGTAAATCCATGGCTAATTTATGTCAATGTATGACAAAAACCACTGCAATGTTGTAAAGTAATTAGCCTCCAACTAATAAAAACTTTAATAAATAAAAATTAAGTTAAAAAAATAAAGAAGCATTTTCAAGGTTATATTTTTATTTCATTGTTTTTCATTTTTTTGTTTACTCTATTTGGGTTTTGTTACAGTTTTGTTCCAATTTTCAAAAAAAAATTTATTGAAATAGTGTACCAGGTATGTGATATATATATAACTGGTCTCTACTCAGGACCAGTTATCTTACGTGTGTTTGTTCTTTGCAACCTGTCCTTTATATGCAAAATCTTACAGCCTCCATAAGCATCTCATAATCTGGATGAATATTTTCATATGGTATCCTTCCTCCCTAGGATGTCCTCAGAAAATCAGAACATAGACAACAGGCCCTTCTATGAGACTGTATTCAGGCACTTCAAAAGACAAAAGGTGCAGATTTCAAATGCAATTAAAAAGACATTTCCTTTCTTTGAAGGCCTCCGTGACAATGAACTCATCACCAGTAAAATGTATGAAGTAAGTGAAGTTTATTACATCACAATCTGGTAAACTGGCCTGAAACTAGTTGAACTTTCATATACTGGACCCAAATATCAGGGTATAACTAGCCATCTGAAGAGTCTCCAGTGAGAGGGGGACATTTTCAAGTAGTGATACAAGTGATCCTAAAAGGCAGAAAGGGAAGAGAGAGCAGAAACAGGCATCACTGGAGACAGTCCGGTCTCTAACTGAAGGGGTGGTACTCATAGTGAACACAGGAGTCAGGGTGAATAACATTGGAGACAGGCTGGATCTGAAGTGGGTGTGCTCTGTAGATATTTACTACCTTGTAGGAATGCACACAATACAGCATAAACTAAATTAATGTCAATGAACTGATGAATAAATTTAATTTATTGATTTGATAAAAATCATAATTGACAGAGCATTTCTTTCCAATGAATATAAATTTAAATAATTAGATCTGAAAACATTAAAACCCACTGAGACAATGTTGTGTTAGAGCAAATTTGGGAGTAGATGCAGGCTATTTTTCTCCAACAGTTTTCAGCTTTCTTTTTTTCTGGTATTCTTGAGTCTTGGAATTTGAGTTAATTTTTGCAATAGGTGTTTCTAGAGTTAACAGAGATGCAAGTCTTCAGTTTGGCCTACAAATATGCTTTCAAACTGTGGCCAAGTTCACAAAATGGAAAACTGTCACCTGGCTTCCTTGAGCTCTTCCCACAGGCCAAGTCAGTATTGATGAAGGGGCAGGTGTTGTCCAGTCAACAGAATAGTGGCTTGTCACCTGCCAAGTCTATTCCTCAAAGAGTTGACCAGGCTCTTAGAGAGTTACATATTCATTAACTTTGAACCCACTTTTAGTCTTCAGAATTGTGCCTTCTTATATATAATGTATATGAGGCTGAGGAGATCAGATTCACAAATGGATTGTTTTAAGAAGAGAGGATTTATTGTTTCACTTAGTGGCCATACAAATATACAGAAATTCTAAACCTCTACATGAAAAGATACCTATTTATGGAAACTGGAATACATTAACTCAAAATCTCTTTCTAGGGCTCTCTTGTAACCTGGAAGTCTGTATTTCTATTTTTCCCATTCACTGCCTTTAAGGACTGTCAAGATTCTTGTAGAAACCTGGTCCCTGTACCAAGAGTGGTGTACAATGTCCTCAGTGAGCTGGAGAAGACATTTAACCTGTCACTTCTGGAAGCTTTGTTCAGTGAGGTCAACATGCAGGAATATCCTGATTTAAATCACATTTATAAAAGCTTCGAAAATGGTAATTATCTTATTATCTACCTTTTGATGTTCAAGGTCAATTTTGGTCAACAAGTATATATAATGAGCTTCCATCACGTGCCATAATTAGTGCTGAGCAGTGGGGATATAACAGGTAAAAAAACACACATACCCTAAGTCTTCTCAGAACTCAGGTTATAATGGCTATGGTACAACACCCACCTAGACTCACAGGAGGAGCAGAGCCACAGTGCCATCTGCTTTAGATAGAAGGACAAATGACAGAGCAGCAGTGGTCTACACAGCATCCACGCAGCTGACTACTACCCACTTTAAGCTTAGCTGTGGGTGCAGGATCCATCCTGGAGTAGCAGCACCATGTCTATAGGCATCAAAAATTCAGCAACTCCATAGTCATAACCTTCAGGGACCCCAGGAGAGACAAGAGGCACCGCCCTGAAGGAAGACCCAAGAATAGTCCATAGAGAGTCCCATCCAGTCTACACGCAATTTACCAGTTGACCTAGTAACACAGACGAGAGTTTACCTTCATCAGATTTTCAGAGTTAACTGAAAGTTAGCTCAAGATCAAATTTGTCCTGAAGGAGAAATGCTTTTACTTAACTTTCTCAACAAAGGGATAAAACAAACATTGCTTAAATATCACAAAACCTACTGCTCTACCAGACTGTTTTTGATGCTGCACAAAACTAAAGCTTTGGTTCACCACTTTTTCCTGAGAAAGCACTGCTTATACCTGGTACTACGTAAGGAAGATGTCCTTCCAAGATTTTTTGTTTTGACTTCACACGAAAAATTTGGCCTCAGCTAAGACTTCCCAAGAGTGATGGAGAATTCACAGGAAGAATGATTCTATAAGCCGAGGAGAGAGGGTGCTATGGGAACAGGCACAGAGTGAGGAGGGTTCTAGAGTTTCTGGAAAAGGACATGGTCAAGTGGTGTCACTCAGAGTGAGAAGCAGACTGTGGGAGCGGACTCAAGAGGGATGTGTTTGAAAAAAAAAGATCTTGAAAGGTCTTAAATCTAAAGGTAAGTAATCTGAAATTTGTTTACTGGGCAGAAAAGAGATACTACTACAGGCATTGCCCCAGGAGGAGCCCTGGCCATCAGCCCTGGGGCAGCCCAGGCTTACCATCCTTTTCCTGGATTCACAGCAGAGACCTATCCTCTAGGATCCCTGGTTTACTTCCTTCTTCCAACATTTGCCAGGGCATCTACATGCAGGGGCTCTGGGCTTGTGTCCTGGTTCTTGTTAGCAGTCTCGTGGGTCCCTAGTCTAGGAGTCATGGGGACGTCCTGCAGCGCTGTAACAGGCACTCCCTGCTTGCAGCTTCAGAGTGTCCTTCTTGTGTCCTGGGATCTGGGGCACCCCAGGGAGGGGTCTAGAGTTCCTCCCCCATCTTCTTGTTTGTCTCTTTGCAATCCACTCATCCCCCAGGACCCAATGAACCCAACTTTCCTCTTATCTAGAACCATCTTTAAAGCTTTTGGGCTTTCTCTTTTATACACACAGATCTCTCTAGGATCCTAGCCCTTCTCCAGAGGAAATCTGTTTCTTTCTTACAGTTTGAACAGTTCAATACACACATTCCACTCCCCTTAGTTATGTAAACACGTGTCATCCTCACGGTGTGACGTTTATTGTACATGACCAACAGCCTCCGGATGTTCTCATGACTCCTTTATCCTTACATTCAAGTGGCTCATTTCTGTGCAGAGAATATAACTGCTCCCTTGCTGGGGTTTCTCTTTTCTGTCCAAGGATGATGGGGGAAATTTATCATGAAGGTTGGGATCCACTAATCTCTGAGTGACCCGAGAGCTGGAAATTTCTAAATGTGCCGTTCTGAGATGATGTTCCTGGTCTCTGGTGGAGATCTCCAATTGTCTTCTCTCTCCCTCTCTTTAGTGATCCAAGAGAAAGTTAATTATGAAGAAAGTAACGGACAAAAGAGGCCGGCCATCCAACTGAGCCTTGAGCAAGGTGATTGAGACCATGCACAAACCAACTCTCCCTTGCTAAGAGGAAAAGGAGAAGGGGAGGGGGAGGCCCGAGTTCTGAGCAAAGATTGGAAATCAGGGAAGAAATGTTGAAGGACCATGGAGAAGGCAGGGAGGGCTGTTTGTGTGAGCATCTAACCAGAGGCTGAGTCCTCGAGGACTGGCTGTGACAAGAGGCTGTTGCCCCAAATACCAAGACAAAGGAAGAGGGACCCAGGGTGTCACTAACCAGATTTAAAGAGAATGACTGCCGGGAAGTCACTGTGATTTAGAAAGAATCCTATAGGAGAAGATCAATGTGAAGGTGCGATGAGCTAAGCAGTATGGGCCCAAGTTCAATGTCAAAGAGAAGGCCCTTCATGATGGCAGAAGAAAGGACTGATTTAAATGTGGGGGAGGTTGTTCAGGAGCAGGAATATTCAAGGAGAAAGGCAGTCATATAGATCCAGAGGCAAGGAAGTGGTAGAGAGGAAGAGGAGTGGATGTGGGTGTTTGAGAGAAAGGAGAATAAAAACGTAGCTATTTTCTACCCCAGGGGATCTTCTCGATCCAAGGATTGAACCCAAGTCTCATGTCTCCTGCACTGGCCAGTGGGTTTTTTTGTTTGTTTTACCACTAGTATGACCTGGCAGATAGAGAAATACATAAAGATGGGAAGATACAGAAAAAAAGAATACAAGGGCTGGGGACAGTGGAGGAGAATCAGACATTGAATCCTCATGGTGAGGCCAACAGAACAGATTAAGCAGATCCTGTACACGGAGGGAATGGAGGAAGAGAGGGTGGGGAAGAGGCTCTAGGACTTTGCAGGAAGGTCACCAGTCCTGGATAGCTCTGGGGACCAAGGCAAGTTCACTCTGGCTGTAGGGGTCAAGATAAACCATTGCTGGTCACTGAAAGGCTGGTGCAGGTCATATGAGGAAACGGCCCGTCTGAGGCACTTTCAACCAGAGGTGAAGCTGATCCCATTCTCTAGTATCTGACACACCTGTTACTTGGAATTTCCCAGATGGTCCAGATAGTCTCCATCTAGACATCTGGAGAAGAAAGAAAAAGAAAGAAAGTGAAGTCACTCAGTCATGTCAGACTCTTTGCGACCCCATAGACTGTAGCCTACCAGGCTCCTCAGTCCATGGAATTTTCCAGGCAAGAGTACTGGAGTGGTTGCCATTTCCTTCTCCAGGGGATCTTCCCAACCCAGGGATTGAACCCAGGTCTCCCACACTGCAGGCAGACGCTTTACCGTCTGAGCCACCAGTCTTCAACTTCATCTTTATCAAGACTAAAAAGGAATCAGGGAAGAATAGCATAGCTAATACTCCAGTTTCTGAAATAAACTTTTCCTTTCTGCCCCCTAGGAACTGGCGGAGACTTTCATCCCGGCCTGACCTCTTCACAGGCAGTTCCCTTGCCTCGTGATGGTATGTACCTGGAGACTGTTCTGTGATCTTTGCTGTCGTGTCCCATCTGGGGGTGTGCTATGGAGCCTGCTTCTTTGTGTTACTGACTGTGCAGAATTGTCAGTCTTTGCATCTGCATTTTCTCCAAGGAGTTAGACAACAGAGTCTTAATTCTCTGAGTCGCCTGGGAGGGTTACTCCTTCCACTCCTTGAACATACTTGCTGCCAGTCCCTGAAGGCTCTGGGCCTGGACATTTGGCCTAGTCGCCTGGCTTTGCAGGGTTCTGCTCTGTCTTGCTTGGTCTGGCAGCGACCTCAGTGCTTTGATGTCACATCGAGCAGAGGCCAGTGCTACGACCAGAGTGACGGGGATGGGGGAGTGGAGAGAAGCAGGTGATGGGTGATCCTCGGGGGAAGGGTTCTTCCCTTGCTAGTCCCTCACATGGACCATGGACACCCCATGACTCCCATACAAACCCTCTCCCATCACACCTGGGGCAGAGACCAGGAGCTGCCCTCCAAACACCAGGCAGGCCTCCGAGAAAAACGTTTTGGTACTTTAACAACCCGTAACCGCTATTTACAACACTTGACCTCCATTAATCCATAACACTCTTAATAATGATACTAAATTAATAAGATTAATATCAGTTTAAGACATTAATCATAATGATTTCATTTTTCAGATCAGTCACAGTATTCCAAATAGTGATACAGACAATAGTTTATTTAACTGTCTCAAAAATCCCCAAATGAGGTATATAACATCCTCATTTTTCAGACGAGAAAGAATCAGCTTAGAGAGTTTGGTTATTTGTACAAGTTAACCCAGCTGAGAATCAGAATTGAGCGCTGCTGTGTACAGTGTCACAGCAGGAATTCAGGGGCCTGTGGCCTGGCTTCAGATTCTGCTTTGAGATATTGGGTAGTAGTCACTCATTGTTCCTCAGTTTCACTGTCTGTAAAATGGACATGGTAATGGTAGCTACTTCAGAGGGTGATGGGTTTTAAACAAATTATGTCATATAAAGCACTCACAATCTTGCCTGAGGCTGCATCAGTGTGTCTATGCATGTTATTATTACTACATTTAATCATCATCATTGTTTGTGTCTGGTGCCAGAGTCCAAGCTTTTAACCATTACAGTGACCATTTCAGTGATAAAAGCAACACCTGCTCCTGACCCAGAAAGATAAATTGAAAGGCACAGTCTCCCCACCCATAGAGCAAACTAGTCTATAGTAAATTTCATGTCTTTCTTCCATGAGTCTCCTTTGGAAATAGTAGAAAAGTCTCAGGGAACTTCTCACAACGTGGAAAGCCTTTATTATGTAGCTTCCAGATGGGATAGACTATTTAAGGAGGGATGTTCTAAGTTATTATTACATTTTTATAAAAGAAAAAAGAACTTTTCAAGTGATTACTGAAAGCATAGTTATACATTTAGCAAGTGACATTTATTCAAAAAGTTAACATTTAAGAATATAAAAAAACACAACATGCATGAATCCATACTCTTAGCTGTTCATCTACTAGTGCAGCTGATGGGACTAGGAAGGGGTGAGTGAATGGAATTGTGACAAGTAATGACCAGAAGAGAAGGGAGTGTGTGTGTGTGTGTGTGTGTGTGTGTGTGTGTGTGTGTGTGTAGGGTGTGGAGGGAGGAAGCAATGAAGTCTTCTAAAACTCAAAGTGTGGTCTGGGGGCAATCCTGTCAGGAAATGAAATCCCAGAGCATCTTGATGATGGGGAGTAAGGAATATAAAGAGAGAAACTTCAGCCTAGGACCCAAATGGTACACAGCAAGTCACCAATAAGTGTGTCCAAGAGTCTGACCCAACAAGAAGGGCTGATGTGCCCAGGTGAGAGGAGCGCTGTGTCTCACATCCCCCCCCACCCCAAGGGGAGGCTCCCAATCCTGAGGATGTGGCACAGAACAGGCACCAGGGCCCACAGTCTATATTAAAACTTTGGGAAATAATTTAAAATCACATTTTACATTAATTAATTTGTTTACAAAAGTAGCACCAAATGAAAAATCCAAACCGCAGTGAAAAATATGTCTATGTGTTCATACATTATTGAGGCTGCAGGGAACAGAGTGGGAGGGGTTGATGGAATCAGTGAGGACCAGAGATGGTTGCCATGGAGAAAGGGCGTGTGTGCTGGTCCTGGGTGGTTTGCCCAGGGACTCAGTCCTTCCCCTCCCCTGCTCTGCTCGGCCCTCTGTCTCTGGCCACTGGCCCCCGCAGACTTGTCTGTCAGCTACCCTTGCTGCTGACTCCCTGCTGGGTTCCTAACATGGAGACCCTGGCAGGAGAGTGGGAGTAAGGGGGGAGCCAGGTGTTTCTCCATCACCGCCTCCGGCCGCAATTCTGGCAGCAGCCGCATCTCAGCCTTGACTGCACCTTCCACGAAGCAGGCAAATCTTGGTCCAGCCTCTGCCCGCCCAGTGACCTCAGCCCATGATCTCATCCTCCATCCCTCCCGCGGCTTCCTGTTTACTCTTACTCCTCTTTATGTCCTCACATTCTTCCACTTGGTCTTCTCTGCTCTTCCATCAGCTGTGCAACCAATCCCTGGATTAAATTCCCTCTGCTCTAAAAGCCTAAAGTGGTTTGTATCTTCCTGTTGGATGCTGATGGATGTGGGAGGGAAAAAAAACTGATGAATCAAAACATGATTTAGGTATGACCCCACGTGAAAATGGACTCTCGGATCGCCTCAGTGAAACAGAGAAGATGAATGCGAAGATGAAAGATAGAAAAAGCGACCAAGATGGTGCTCTAGAAAGCCAACAAGCAAATGAACAATGTTCACAAGAGTCTGAACCAGCAGGTAAGACTGACTGACTGGGTTTGATGAGTGTGGAGGGGAACAGGCAAGTGGAGGGACTTGGTGTGTTGGACAGTGGCACAGGGGAAGACTTTGGTGGTGGTTAGAATGCTTGAGATGAAGAAAATATAGAAAGACAAAATTGGTATAGAAGAGGCATACACCAGTCATGTCAATAATTAAGAAGCAAAGACTCGGAGAAGGTAGGAAGTATAATAGTGGATAAGCTGAGCAGCTAGGTAGAGGACAGCAGGGCCAGGCCTAGGATGAGGCAGGGAGACCCTTTCTTATGAGATGTGAGAACCATCTCATTCTAGGCACCTTCTTTGCCTCAACTCTAGACCCTGCAGGGCCCTGTGGGACACTGACTTAAAATGTAGATAAAAGAGCATGCATAAAAAAAGATGCAAAAAAAAAAAATGAACACCAAAAATATAGGGAAAAAAATGGGGGAGGCACCAAAAGAGAGCTCCACAGAGAATGAGTAAAGGGCAACGTGGACCAAGCACAGAGGAAGGAGGGAAGTGGAGACACTGTCCCGTTTGAGGAAGCAGTCATTTGAATGAAGGCACAGGGGCTGTTCCTAATACCATTGAGAAAGATCAGGTGTTCTCAATGATCAAAATGGCCCGGTAACCCCTCAGACAAAAATAAGATTCTCCCCAGGAAAGCAAAGACAAAAGAAGAAAGCCCAGAGCTGAGGGAGGAACAAAGGAAGACATGGAATCAGTTTGGGGAAGAGGTTTTGCGGATTTTCTGTCCCCTCCCTTGTTTCTCTAGAGTCACTTCTAAAGTCTAAAGTCACTTCTAAAGTGGTCTGAAACTTCAGGGACTCTTCTGTATATGAGTGCTAGTTCGGATTTAAGCTTGAGTCACCCCATGTCATCCCAGGAATGTAGACAATGGAAGGAATACCTTTCTTGTAGTTTCAGCTCTAGACTGAAAAGCTGGGGGAAGAAACTTCATTTTCTTCTTTTGCACAAATCAGAAAAACAGCTACTGTGTAGACTTTCCTTGTTGATCTCAGCAGATGAACTGGACTGATAATGTTTATTCAGATTTAAGACATTATTTGAATCTTGGTTTGAGTAGATTTGGGATCTATCTGTAATATTAACTAGATCAGATTGCTTTTATATTTTCACATGTACACAGAGGATCACCTCACCCTTGTCAACGTCCATCAGTTATTGAACTTTGTGAACTGGCCTTGGAACATTACAACAATGTTTTGTTGCACCAATTTTATAAACTTCTGCAGTTCAATATGTGCTGTTTTTCAGAGACAAAGCAAAGTTTAATTTGTCAAGGTTCATGCTCTTTGTTTTAGCAGCATTTGATAGAGGATCTTTTATATACCTTTGTAATTGATAAAAATAAACGAGATTGCAAATTAGCTTTCTTTCTTTTTTAAGCAAACCATGTACCAAGTTTTTTGGTTCAGATGGCGTAGACTAAGTTAAATTGTGTTCTGTTAACCAAGATGAGTATATTTCTGTAAGTATAAATATGTTGAAATAAGGTTTTAAAACACACACACACAGAGGAAGGGACAGAGTGAGCAGCAGGAAGGAGAAGGGTGGGTCGGAGCTCCCCCAACCCCAGAAGTGGGATTACAGGGAGCAGACTTCTTAATGCTAGTGAACAGTGCTCACTTCTTTTTGGGGAGACAAATTAAAATTCTTCATTTGTTAAAATTTGATCCAGGAGCAAAGCCATACAACCATGGACTACAAATCAATTCCTGTTCTGTCCGTCTAGTGGATATAAAGAAGGAAAAGCCATTTTTCAACTCAGAAGTTCAACTGAAAGCCCAAGCAAGGACTGACTATAACCAGGTGTCTGACATAATAGGTAAGGCTGACAGAAAGAACGTGGAGCAGGGATCAAGGGAACCAGGCAAGAGGCTGGGGCATCAGGGTCCAGCCAGCCAGTCCAGGTGGCCTTGGGCAGAGGAAGGAAGGGCAGGGAACCAGCACCTTGTGCTGTGAGTTCAGCAGAAGAGGTTCCCCAGGGACCAGAAAATTATCAGAAGATGGGTTATAAGTATTGATGACCAGGAGACTATTTCCAAAGTAAGAGAGGAGAGTAGGGGGGTAGAAGATAAAGAAAAGGGAAAGACCAGAGAGCCAAGATATTCATGAGAGGAGATGGAAAAGAAAAAAATGAAGACAGAGCGAGGCATAAAGAGAGACAGTTCCCAGAAAGACAGGTGTAAGTAGGGAAAATGGGCAAAGCCAGGAGGAAAGTGAAGAGGTAAAATGAGAATGAAAGAAAGAGGTAGAATGGAGTAGAGGGTCAGAGGTAGGTCTAGGGTGGGGGTGAGGGGTAGCAGGAGGGTGGGGGAGGGGAGTGTGGGCAGGATGGGCAGAGCCACCCTCTGTGTGTGAGCGTCATCACCCTTCATGCAGGACCGGGAGCAACCTGCAGCTCACCCACATTCAAGCACAGACCATGTGCCTGAATTAACTTAGCTTCTAGGAGCTTCCTGCTGCATGGGCTCCACCATGAGATCCTAAGGGGGTTTGTTCCTCTGTGCAGTGATCAGCAGTGAGGACTCTGCAGAATCCAGTGATGCAGATGAGTTCCCAGAACCCTCCACACCAACACCAGGAAGGGCGGCTGGTAAGGAAGGGGGAGAGCAAGGCCAGGGCTGCAGGAATCTGCAGGAGCGCTACGGGGATACCCTGCCGCGCGTGAACTAGACAGCTAGTGGGAAGCTGCTGTAAGCACAGGGAACTCAGCTCAGTGCTCCGTGGTGGCCTAGACGGGTGGGGTAGTGGGAGGGGGGGAGAGAGGTTCAAGAAGAAGAGGATATGTATATACATATAGCTGATTCACTTCTCTGTATAGCAGAAACTATCACAACATTGTAAACGACCAAAACCTAATAGAAAAAAAGATTGTTACCATTGCAAGCCCATCTGTCTTGCAAGTTATCATAGAAATTATAAGACTTTGGGGGACAGATAACTGTTTCTTCCTCTTACTTGGTAGAGACTGTGTTGTTTAGTTACTAAGTCGTGTCTGACTCTTTGAGACCCCATGGATTGAAGCCTGCCAGGCTCCTCTGTCCATGGGATTTCCCAGGCAAGAATATTGGAGTGGGTTGCCATTTCCTCCTCCAGGGGATCTTCCTGACCCAGGGATCGAACCCGAGTGTCCTCCTTGGCAGGCGGATACTTTACTATTGAGCCACTTGGGAAGCCAATGTAGCCCGATTAAGATAGAGCCCAGGAACTTCAGAAAAACAACCACATCCAGAAAAAGGGCTTGGCAAAGAGGTAAGAGCAAATAAAATCTCACCACTGTTGTAAAGGAGCAGTGTTAAATGACCCATTCTAATTCTTTGTTCTACCCTTCAAAGTAAAATATAAACTTGCTCTAATTTAAGATGGTTCATATTTAGCTTTCGTATTCATCAGTTAGGCTAGTGACTGAAATAAACCTGAAGAAGTCAAGGACTCAAAAACCATAGAATTTTTATTTCTTGTCAAGTAAACATTGCAAAGAGTTTTAGATGAGGGGGTTGGGGGTAGGGCGATGGGGGTCTGTTTAAGTAGTCTGGCGGAAATAGCCAAGTGGGAGATCCTCCTTCTTCAAGACCAGACTTGGTCTCTCCAAGACTGCCCTGGGAGAGAAGCAATGCTAAAAATAGATACAGACATAGATACCAAAACAGCAACAACAAATCTATAATGGAGCAGTGAAAAAAGAAAAACTGTGATGTAAGAAGATGAAGGGCTGGGACTTCCCTGATGGTCCAGTGGCTAAGACTCCATGGTCCCAATGCAGGGGGCCTGGGTTCAATCCCTGGTCAGGGAGCTAGATCCCACATGCCACAGCTAAGAGTTCGCAAACTGCACCTAAAGATTCTGCAAGCTGCAATGAAACCTAGCACAGCTAAATATTTAAAAGAAGAAGAAGAAGATGATGATAAAGGGCCAATGCAAAGCAGTGAAGCCCTGTGAGTAAAGTTTTCTCAGGTGCAGGCAATGTAAGGGGATAAAATACAGGCCTACAGATCATATGAATATAAAAGACAGATCATGATGGTCTGATCGAGGAACATTCTAAGCCTTCGTTTTCAGAGCTTCCCAGGTTTTTTCCTATATTGGTCCCTTTGTCACACACTGAGAACTTACAAAGGACATTTTCTCCATTCTGCAGTGATGCTAAGTGAAGAGTCTTTAGAGGCCAGCGAGGACGAGGCACTCTGGGGAACACAGAGCTCAACCCTGCGGAGTGGTCCTGATGAGGGTAAGGGCTGCCATCCCTGGGATCCGGACATCAGGAGTTTTCTAGTGCAATTTACTCTGAGCACACTCCACACATCTGTTCAGTGACCCTTCAGAGCCCATTCTCTGCACTTACTCCTGTGACTATTCTGAAAATTGCAAAGAAACCCTTGTAAATTCAGATTAACAAAATGGCTCTAGGTGAATGGCACTGTTGTTTTACTGCATGCTCTCAGATGTATTACATCTGAGATGTATTACCCCACAAAGTACTAGTGATTTCTGCCTCTGCCCACCCGCTATTTATAAAGAGCAAAGTGAAGTAGTCTGCCATTGCTTGATTCACTTGTCTGTTCAAAACTTAGAAGTTTCTGGCCACGCTCCCCAAGTATTGACAGAAGCAAGAGCTTCTGGTTATTACCATCAGATTTCATTTATGGCTTTTGGCAGATGACCCCCCAACATGGCATTGGTCTATATAATGATATTTGAAAATATTTTCTCCAATAAAATATCCTTTTATGTTTACAACAGCCTATTATAAAAGGTAGCTCAGAAAACTGGTTCCCTCATTTCCTAGTTGAGGAGACTCCAGCACATAAACATTTAAGGATCTTTTACATATCACATAGAGAAAGTTATCAGAAGATGCAAGACCAACAACTTAGACTCTTAGCAAACACTTGCAATCCTTTATTGAAAATCTTTAACACAACATTGTAAAGCAACTAGACTCCAAAAATATTAAGTAAAACATTAAAACAAAATCTTTACAGGCAGATATAAAATAGAAATGTTTTACTATTTTAGAAGAACAGTGTGATGTACACCCTATATGTTACAAAACACCCCAGTAAGTTCTGGGACAGAATCCCATGATTAAATATACCATATTAGTGTTCCTGTAGCAAATTGTGTGAATTCACATCAATTGTGATATTTTATTGGACTCCTGGCAGCTGAAGTCTAGATTCATTGGCAAATTAGTTAGCTGCAAGTCTATGGAAAAAAAACATGTTGGTTTTCAAAACTTCTTTGATTTTGCAATCAGGGCTAAAGGATAGGGGATATTCACTCCATTTGGTAGTGATCACTTTCCTTTAGATGGGGAGAAACAGAAATGACCATCATTGCATCTGTATAGCCCATGTCCTGTCTACAATGTGAGTAATCACAAGATTTACTACTCTTTTAGTTACAGATTACTGATTTTATTTTCCTTTGCTTCCTAGATCCTACAGATATTGGAAACACATCGATTCACAGTAGAAGTAATAGGAAAAGATGTAAGAACAATTAAAAATTTTTGATGTAACAAATACCTTTTTTAGCTACAAAAGCTTCATTTAGCTTTTTGGCTATACCCCTTGAAAATAAAATGATACATTTATAGGTGTTTTCAATAATTCATATTATACATTTTGAATTAGAGGAGCTGAGCTAACTGATGTAACAGGTAGGCCTCAAGAAGTTCAGTGTCACAAGTGCAATACAAGTTTATTCTTCACTCACATCAAAGGATAAAGCAGTTCCCAGGTTGGAGGGGTGCTCATTGAGGGCCCAGCTGATGGAGGCTCTGACATTGAAAATGTTGCTTCCAGGGTCTCTCTGGATAAGAAACAGAGTGAAAGCAGGAATGTTAATATGTACTGACAAGAGGAAAGGGTAAGAGCTAGTGACCAAAGGGAGTGCCTTCCATAGCAAAGTTATGGCCACTCCCAGCCTTGGGGATGGTTCCTGGAACAACCTTGACCACCAGGTCAGATGGAGCCACAGGGTGACCTGGTGGGAGAATTATCCTTAATCCTCTTATACAAGCTTCCCTTTACCAAATTTCCTGTTAAAGAATTCCATGCTGTATTGGTACTAGGTCACAGACTGAGATTGTAAAGGACTTTTATTTCTTTCTGCAGGGATGTGCAGTAGTGATTCTTCAGACTTGAGTAACGAAGGAGAGCCTTAGGCAGCATCTAGTTCAGCCCTAAGAAATGGGTCAGGTAAAGAAGATTAGGATGTCCAGCCTTGGCCTGCAACATGTCAGGAGTGAAAAGCCACTGTTTTGAAGACCTCTGTGTCCTGTTCATCCTGGAACTCCCTTCAGCATTTTAAAAAATGGAATAAGGCAGGAAATTTGTGAACTCATATTTAATAGGATAAATCCTATTGATGAAATTATATTTTGCATATAGAAATTATATAGTGTAATTAAATGTTGCTTTTGCAGGAGAAATAAATAGCAAGTTGAGTTGATAGTATCTTTTTTTAACACTGCCAACTACTAACTGGCCCTTGCCAAGAGCATCTGACGGCAATTGAACAACAACAAAAACAAGGACATTTTCCCTCTGCCTCTGCGGAGACTGAAACCTATGCTGCTGCTGCTGTTGAACATCACATCCGCTGAGGGAGTTTAATGTGGAGTGAGGCACTCTGTGCTCCAGAGAATCTGGTGGGACAGGTCTTTAGATAATTCGACATTTTCAGGAACTGATTGCGTATGTGCTGTGCTATGTTCAGTTGCTTCAGTCAAGTCCAAATCTTTGTGACCTCATGGACTGAAGTCCACTAGGCTCCTTTGTCCATGGAATTTTCCAGGCAACAATACTGGAGTGGGTTCCCATTTCTTTCTCCAGGGGATCTTCCTGACCCAGGGATCAAACCCGTGTCTCCTGCTTGGCAAGCAAATTCTTTAATGTGGAACCACCAGGGAAACCCATACCTATAGATATATCTATACCTGGCTGTATCTATCTATCTATCTATAGTGTGCTCCAATAGTGCTATTGATAAATTTCCACATGTAGGAAACTAAACAAGATACAGAGGGTTTCACCAGTGGGTGAAATTGGCATTCACACAGGGAGAAATCGTAAGCAGAACTGTAGATTTTGGTGGCTACTGCTAAGTGCCACTAATGCATTGAAAGGAGTAAACGATAGGCTTCGATCTATCAGTCAAAGCAAAGAAACTCTCCTACCTGCAGCTGGAAGGCAGAAAAAGGAAGATTGGACACAAGCCCCAGTTTTAGGAATGGCTGACCATTGGAGAAGACTGAGGCCTAAACTCAGGCTGGCCTCCTGTGCTGACGGCAGGGCCCTCATAAAGCAGGAGTGAAGCCATGCATCAGAACCAGGCTTTCTACACAGGTGTATGTGATAACCTTGAACTCCAGGAAGTCTGCCTCAACCTACTGGGCCTGCAGATGTGTCCCCTACCCCTGGTTGGAAGACAGGCCCGTCCCCACCCTTCCCCCATCCTGATCTTGCTTGAATGAAGACCCTGCAGAGTTCTCCCAGCAGGACCCCACTGGTCATCCTGCCAGCTGCAGAGGATTTACCCCAGCGGAACTGCAGGACTCGCCAACATGTACAGCAGGTACCAGGAGACTGGGTCTGGGGGTGAGCCCTGGACAAATAAGGGGAATATGAAAATGCAAAAGGAAAAATTGTTAACCCAGAAGCACTCCCCTGGGCTTCCCTAGGGACTCCGTGTTAAAGAGTCCACCCACCAACACAGGAGACACAGGTTTGATCCCTGATCCAGGAAGATCCCACATGTCACGGAGCAACTAAGCCCATGTGCCACAACAGTTAGCCTGTGCTCTAGAGCCCAGGAGCTGCAACAACCCAAGCCCTCATGGCCTAAAGCCTGTGCTCCGCAACAAGGGAAGCCACTGCAATGAGAAGCCCATGTACCACCACTAGAGAATAGCCCCTATTCATTGCAAGTAGAGGAAAACCCAGGCAGCAATGAAGACCCAGCACAGCAGGAATAAATAAATAAACAAATAAAATTATTTAAAAAAAATCCAACCTAGCCAAATAGTTAATTAATTAATTTTAAAAAGAATTACTTTCCTATGCCAAGAAGATTAATTACCCTGGCAAGGGCCAAGGGTATTCAAGTATGTTCCTGCTGGTTCCCAAAGGCTTGGTAAAAACCATGATACACACTAGATGAAGTGGAAGCAGAGATACTAGACATGCCAGGGCAGACTGTGTAAAAAGGGGGACCCAAAAGCCTAGGAGGTTGGCACAGCTCTACTTTCTACAACTGGAAAACCCTCCACCAAGTGACTGCCCCTCAGGAGGCCTCAGAGACACTAACTCCACAGGTGATAAGGAGCACACAGCTGAGGGGCACTAGCATCCTTGAGATGCCCAGGCTGTCCTCTGGTCCTCTGTAGGTTGGCATAATGGAAGAATGTCTTACAGAACTGGATTCCCTAGTAGCAATGGGAGTGATTTTGTTGTTCAGTCAGTCAGTCATGTCTGATACGTTGTGACTCCATGAACTGCAACATGCCAGGATTCCCTGTCTTTCACTATTGCCTGGAGTTTGCCCAAACTCATGTCCATCAAGTCGGTGATGCCATCTAACCATCTCATCCTTTGTTGTCCCCTTCTCCTCCTGCCCTCAATCTTTCCCAGCATCAGGGAATGATGAGTCAGCTCTTCGCATCAGGTGGCCAAAGTATTGGAGTTTCAGTTTCAGCCTTGATAGGATTCCAGAATAGAAGCTGGGTGGCAGCAAGGTAGAAAGTGTCAGAGCAAGATGAAGTCATTATTATAATGTGCAGTAAGGTTAGATGACAGCAGGGATGCTGGCTCATAGATGTCCATGTAGATAGATCATAAACATGGTGTCCAGGAAGACAGATGGGCAGCCAACAAGTATATTTCCTTGTGTATATCATCAAAAGAGATTAAAAATAGATGAACAGATGGCTAAGATCAGCTCCCCAATAAAAAGTCAAGATCCCCTGTCCAGTTTCCAGACCTGAGCTAAATCTAGGACCTGCTCACGGAAATGAGGGCAGGTGTCATAAGAAAATGATTCCCCAAGCTTCACCAAAGGCATCTATGGCCATTGATTCAAGTAACCAGATGCCAGACAAGGAAAATACTCAGATCTCTTATCAGTTGTTGATACAAGATCTGAGTTGATGCTGGAACCTGGGGGCCCAAAGCATTGTCATGGTGCCTGTTAGAGTGGAGTGTATGATGAAAGGTAATGTCCATCTAACAGTGAGTCCACTCAATCCAGGGGGTCACTGGGCAGTCATTACCCAAGTTCCTAAATGTATAATCCGGACAGCCACAGTAGTTGCTTAACTGGTGTCTTAACCCATAGTTCTTATCTATGAAATAACAATGATATCTTAGGAAAGGCCAAGTAGAAAGTTCTGAAACTAAAGTTTCTCATGGTAAAATAGAAAGTTGGAAGGAATATTCATTCCTGAGAAATGAAAAAATAACATAGATTAATGCCAAGTGCAAAGATTTAAGGATGTAGGGGTTATGTTGTGCAGTCACTCAGTTATGTCTGACTTTGCGACCCCATGGACTGCAGCACACCAGGCTTCCCTCTCATTCACTATCTCCTGGAGTTTGCTGAAACACATGTCCATTGAGTTGGTGATGCCATCACCATCTCATCCTCTGTCGTCCCCTTCTCCTCCTGCCCTCAATCTTTCCCATCATCAGGGTCTTTCCAAAGAGTCGGCTCTTCACATCACGTGGCCAAAGTATTGTCCATCAGTCTTTCCAATGAATATTCAGGACTGATTTCCTTTAAGATTGACTGGTTCGATCTCCTCCTGATGTCTGCAAAAGCTACATGGTTCATGGCTCATGTTGAAGTTGCTCAGCTGTGTGCGATTTTGCAATCCCATGGACTGTAGCCTAATGAGCTCCTCCGTTCGTGGAATTTTCTAGGCAAGAGTACTGGAGTGGGTTGCCAGTTCCTTCTCCAGGGGATCTTCCTGACCGAGGGATCAAACCCAGGTCTCCCACATTGCTGCTGCTGCTGCTGCTAAGTCACTTCAGTCATGTCCAACTCGTACCAATCCCATGGACTGCAGCCTACCAGGCTCCTCCGACCATGGGATTTTCTAGGCAAGAGTACTGGAGTGGGGTGCCATTGCGTTCTCCGCTCCTGCATTGCATTGCTTTACCCTCTGAACCAGCAGAGGTTCATGGTAAGTGGATGACTATTATAAAGCTAACATGATTGGGGTTTATAGAAAGCAATACTCGGGCCTTGGTAGATCATATTCCTGCTTGCTGTGGGGCCTAAATAAAGATCCTAGCTAGTGGTTCTGCCCTTCTGTAGAGCTAAAGCCAGTGGTCCCATCTGGTCAGAGAGCTCGGTTGGCAGTTCTGCTTGATTTGGGTCCCAAGTTGTGCCGAGCAGCAGGTTCTACCACCCAGCCCAGGTGGAGAAATGTACTGTAACCTTGCCCATCTGCTGAGTGAAGCTTCCAGTTTTGGTCATTCAGAAAGTCTGGCCAGGTAATCCAAGTAGCCCAGAAACAAGCCTATGATGCCACCTGCCCACAGAGCCCTCTCTACAGCCCTGCCCAGCAACAGAGCCCCGTCCAGTTGCCAAACACAGCCTATTATCTCGTGCATGCAGGGAGCCTAACCAGTGAGTTACTCTAGTCATGGAGCAAAATTTGTGGCCCCACCCAAAGAGGACACCTAGAGAGCCACACTCCAAATGTAGAGCAGTTTTGACCCCCACCCAACTGCAGGAAACTGCTGGAGCCCCCTCAACCAGAGAGCTTGGCAAGAAATCATCCCCACGGCAGGGAATAGCTAGCAGTATGATCCTGTCTGTGGCCTCTTTTAACTATGGAGTCCATCCAGTGGCACCACCAGGCTGGCAGCATAGCCTGAAACTCTGTCCAACCAGGAGCTATGGCAGAGCCCATCTTGTAGCCTCACCTAATTGCTATTGTTGTTGTTCACTCGCTAGATTGTGTCCCAGTCATTGTGACCTCATGGACTGCAGCGTGCCAGGCTCCTCTGTCCTCCACTATCTCCCAGAGTTTGCTCAAATTCATGTCCATGAAGTCAGTGATGCCATCCAACCATCTCACCCTCTGCCACTGCCTTCTCCTTTTACCGTCCGTCTTTCCCACCATCAGAGTCTTTTCCAATGACTCGGCTGTTCACATCA